AAATACCCAAAGAAGGAAGAGAAATGGGTTTTATTTATTATTATACTTTTAGTGTATATGTGTGTGTATATATATATATATATACACACACACACACACCCTTTAAAAGTATTGTTTATTTTAATATTTGTGGTACTATAAATGTATGCATTATTTTGAACTTTATTGCTTGTAATTCTTTGTGTTTTCCAAATACCCAAAGAAGGAAGAGAAATGGGTTTTATTTCTTTTTCACTAGCAGCATCGCATCCAGGGCAAGTCCGCTTTTCCTGTCTCCTGTGGGCTGCCACACCCCTGCTTATCTGCTCTTCTGAACTGGGGGGTTGGGTTTCAGGGCTCTTAAGCTTATGCTAGTGCATTTAGGACACTTTGTTCCAGGGTTTGGTTCTATAAATGGATGGGCCCCAGCTCTTGAGAAATTGGATTGCCCGTGACAGTTTAGGTTCAGAGGATCTTAGAGAACTGAGCTTAGACTCATCAAATGACATTGCCTTTGACAAACTTCCCTCGATGGGATTCTCATTATCTTGTGTATAAAGGGAGGGAGGCAAGAGCACTTTTGTTACTGTTAAGGAGTTACAGAGAATTATGTGACAGTGCTTGTTTTTGTTTTTTTTTAACCCTTTTTTTCTTTCTCCCTGTGTCCCCAGCTGGCCCTGAAGGATCCTGTCCACACAGTGTCCCTGCAGCAGTTCATCTACGAGAAGCTCAAGGCACAGCAGGAGCTGTTGGGCGAACAAGGCTTCCAGTCACTCATGGAAACCGTGGACACAGAGATTGTCACCCAGCTGCAGGAGTTTCTGCAGGGATTCTAAGAGCACACGCTAACATTGTGGCCGCCTCCCCTTCCTGAAACACCGAATCACCCAGCCTGCCATCTGTCCCGAGAGCCTGCTGCCGTGGTGGAGAAATCACTTGTGTTTGAAAATAAAGAAACAAAGACCATAGACTTTTTTTAACTACACAATTCAAGGAATAAGTGTAAGATGCCACATAGCTAAAATCACAAACCTATTCCTCGGAAGAATTTAATTTTATATTTATGAGGGGCCCTGTGTTTGCTAGATAACATTTGATGACAATAGTTTAGTTCCTGTTAAGAGAAGAAACTTTGATTCTCTTAATCATGTATTCTTAACACTTGAGAAGATGAAGTTAATGTCTGAGATTTTTGCAATCAAAATTGGTCACATTTGGCTATCTTTACCGTTAAGGTAATGAAACTAAAGGTTTGAAAAATGACGAAGTTATTCAGATGATGCATCTAAAAGAATTTTTCACACTAGGCAAAGAAATACATAAATATGGAGAAGTACATATTACTAAGATTATCTTGCAAAGGGATTGTTTTCATCTCACGTAGAAAACGAGTTTTATCAGACAGGCTTTTATTCTCTATGACAATAATTTGATACGGAAATCAGAGGTTTTTTGTTGTTGTTGTTGTTGTTGTTGTTGTTTTCCCCTCAAGTTTTCATAACTCTATTTAGTCTTCACACACACATTGTAAGGCCTGCAAAAGTGAACCGGTGGTACCGTGGTTACCAGGCGGGAGACCTCTGCTCATGTTTGGCCCTAGTCCTTTGCCACTCGTGAAGGCCAGCTGCTCTGTGGGCACCGAGAAGGGCCAGGCAGCCCACTTCCTGACTGTGCTGCGACCTGACTCACAGGCTGTTCCACACGCACCCAGCTCGATTGCTCCTTGGGTGTGCACGTGTGCGCGTGCATGTGAGTCAGGACCTCTGTGGCCTGGGTGGTCCTCGGGACCCACCAGCAGCCCCCAGGCTGGGGCTGAACTTCATAGGCAGATGCCTGCCAGAGCATCAGGGTACTGACAGACAGGACTAGTCTCCCTTCCTCCCCCTGCACGCCGTACCAGAAAGGGGAGAGGAGAGAAAGAAGCCTTACTTTGTTTCACTTGCCATTTATTGTCTGAAAGGTGTGATGTATTTTTCAGGAAATAATCAAAAGCAAGGTTGTAAAATGTTTGCTCTTTCGATAGAAAGTTGGGTACAGTATGTAACACTGTGGGAAACCCACTGCCCCTGCGCGAGCTGTGGAACCCAGAATAGATAAAAATGTTTGGTGTTTTCACCAAGAGAAAGAAAATAGGGGCTCAATTAAATTTTCTGAACATACCTCACCTTTGACTGATTAGTCTTTTGTTCTTGCTCCCCAGAATGAAATGAGTTCATAACATTAAAGGGACGCAGTCTCTCACACTGCCGCGGTGGCTCATTGCGAACAGGTGGCAGTGCTGTACGGAGTAAAACCTGGTTCACCTTTGAGTGTACCCTTTTCACTTAAAGACTGAAAGCTGCGTCTGTAGGAAATGCCCTCATTAGTGTTCCTGTCTCACCTAAGACACATGGCTTCGGCTGGTTGCCAAGCGTGGGACCCACCAGCCTCAAGCGAGCGTGCGTTCTGCGGTAGCTGTGGGATGCTCAGCTCTCCCAACGACAAGTCTGACTGCAGTGCTGTCCAATCTTCTAAACAGCGACTTTGTAAAAAATAATTTAACAGCCCCTCTTAGGGAAAAATGGCTTAATTTTAAAAAACATTAACATGAGCTTTATAAATAGCTTGGAAGAAAAATCTTATATTTAAAATTTTTTAATGTTGAATGGAAACATAATATGTTGTCATTGATGTTCAGAATTTTATTCATTAAACCAACTTAACTAGGCTTTGGGTTGAACTGTGGCTCCTGATACAAGATAATGATTATTTCTATTCTTAAATATACTTGCTTTTCTATTTATTTTCTATTTAAACAATGGCATCTGGTCTTTGCAAAAGGCCCTTGTGGTTAACAATACTGTTCTAAACAGAAAATCATCTAAACCCACTGCCATCTCGTCGGTTCGTGCTCACTGCTGGGTTTCCGCGACCCGAGGGTTTATGGGAACGGATTGCCTCATCTTTCTCCCAAAGAACATGTGGTTGGTTTGAAATGCTGGCCTTGTGGTTAACCTAACCCACACCTCCATTAGGACTCCACTCTTAATTGGTTTTCATTGTTTATTAACCTTTCTTCCCTCTCCTGCCAGTCCAATTCAAGAAGCTACATTATACATGATAAAATTTCTGAATTCCTAGAAAGTCACCTTAGATAATGATTTTACCTATTCGTTCTATTACTTTCTGATTTCCTTCCTTGCTAGACATTGTGCTAAATGTGGGATTAGAGCAGTCACTCACCTTCAAGAAGCTTCGAAACTCAAGAACACAGACGGTCATCCTGACACAGAAGCGTTCTAATGGAAGTGTATGTGCAGGAGCACTGGGGATGGGAGGTACTATGTTCCCAAACTGCTGTCCCTAAAATCCATCCTCAAACAGCCTAGTATAGAGACGGTATTTAAAAGTAAATTTTACTGTGGAACTGCTTTCTGACGCCCAACTTGGCTATGTGGAATTACTCTGACATAGGAAATCACTGATTTGGGAAACAAAAATATTGGATTTCTAACCACACACTGAAGCCCTAATCTCATAAATTACAGCATATACTAAATAAAGGTAATGGTCTTCTGCAGGTGAACAAAAATTTTTTAAATGATTGATGAGTGGATGAAAAAAATGTTTGTCATGGAAAACAAGGTACTTTTCTTTCCCCAACTTAAAAAATTATTTCTTAAACCTATAGAAGCATCGAGAGAATAGTATAATGCCAAATACCTTTTTGATCTGTCTGGACAAATGTGCGCCTTAGAGGGAAGGATGATATACTTTGGACATGTTGTCAGGAGAGATCAGTGGAGATGGACGTCGTGCCTGTAAAAATGAAGGAAAAAAATAAACGGCCCTCAACAAGATAGATTGTTACCTACAGCAGGCTCGGGCACAGGCACAGTTGCGAGGCTAGTGCAGGACTGGGCAGTGTTCGTCCTGTTGTACAGATAGTTGCTATGGGCTGGGACCAACTCAGTGGCGCTTACCACCACCAGCACCACCAATGTGTATTGTGTTGAATCATTTGAAATAACACTTGACCATCCCTAATACAAGAGGAAGTCAAAAAGTTCATGGAAATATTCCTTTATCTTTTAATTCCATTTTCCACAAACTTTCTGAAGCCCTTCATACTTTGCAAATACCTCCTAACGATGGTATTCCTTTCCTTAGCCAGGTTCACACACCACAGTTGCTCTCGCCATTAAGCCAATTCCAAAGCACCTGCTGTAGAATAGAGGGCAGTGTGCCCTCTATCCAAAGCTGTGATTCTTGAGAGAAGCTGGCCCCGCCCCCCACCACCCTGTTTTCCTCTGTGGAGGGACTGGTGTGGACAAACCACTAGCCTTTTGAGTAGCAGCTGAGCCCCTGGTTCCTTAATATTTAAGTCAGAATAATTATTTTTTTCTGTCATTGTTAATTTTTAAGAATCCAAGCCAGGTGCTTTGTAGAATGCCTTTTTATCGGAGTTTTCTCATTTAATTCAGTTTAAATGTTTTTGGTGACAAGAATACGTAGGTGATGTTGTATGAAGTAGCTTCCAAAAAATTGTGGAATAATGGAATTAGAAGATAATGGAGTTTTCCAAGAACTTTTATGAGTCACACTGTATATACTTTGTTGCATCTGATGAACCACAAAACCAAACCTGTTCCACCTCAAGTTTATTCCCCCTCCTGGTGACCCTGTGTTACAGGTGGAGCTGCAATCAGGAAGCAGGTACATAAAAACGAGTTAGGTTAGATGATCAGATTGTAAGAATAATCTTTTATAAATGATCATTACCACCTTAGAAGTTTCCACTGGGTGGGTGTTTAGGGTTTCACTTGCTTTAGAGCTCTTAGCAATACCCATTGTAGCCTTTTCAAGCTGTCAAAATATTCTGCAATTACATTTTAACCTAGAAAAGCATGGTGAGCTACAGAAAAAGTCTACCGAACCTGCTAATCTGTGGCAGTTACATAATCTCCTGTCAACTTGAGTGAAGGGGTGGAGTCTAGCCTGTCAGTCTGGTCATAGCCAATGAGGCCTCTGTGTGGGCATGGCCTTCTGAGGATTCGGGGAACTCCTGTCTTCCTCCCTGGAGGCGGGACACACACAGTTTCACCATTCTGTGGACAAGCCACATGAAGTTATGCGGATGGCAGCCAGAGCCCTGGAGCTGGAGGAGCCACATGGAGAGCTGCGTCAGTGCTGAGATGCTTCCACAAGACTTTTCACCCTCTGGCCTATCTGGGCTAATACTGACCTTATGGACTTGATGTGTGCTGGGCCTGGATGTTCTCTTAATATACAGTTACTCTTGGATATGAAACACACACATATGAGTGTCTCTAAACTTTGTTTTTTTTTCTTGGACACACTTTTTACCCAAGAGTCAGGCCCCCGTCGTTTTCAGAGTGTGTAGTTCTTAGTGAATACCAGCAAATCCCAAACTCCACAGCAAGCACAGACTCACGATCAAAATGCCTTTTTTGCTATTTGTAAACAGAGGCAAATACACAACGGCATTTTCTTTTCAGTGCCTCCTATGGAGACTGAATTGGAAACAGAGACCAGCCAGGTTGTGGACGCTTGGTGTGGTTTAAGATAGCAGTCACCATCTCTTCATGGAGAGCAAAGGATCTTACTTCAGGTCAGGCTTTGAACCCAGTATCGGTGAAACTAACATCTGCTGAGAAGGCACTTTTCAAGCCACCTTTCCCTTTAAGAAAATGCATCTTGCCCGAAACGTCCAAATTATCCTGACCTGGTGTCTCCTAAGTGTAAAAGCCAATCCATTTCTGCTGTGGAGCTTGGATTCTTTCCCCAGCCCCATGCAGCTTATGTGCAGTGGAACTTGGGAGCCCTTGGGGCGAAATGTTTCCCAGGGAAAAAGGCTCTAGCCCAAGATTTCTCCTCCCCTACTTTTTCAGGGCTGGAGGGACTCTTGATGGTGTAGTGCTCTTGGATAAAGTTCAGAACTTGAGAGTCGTTGATTACATTTTTCATTTTTTCCTCTTGAAATATTTCTTTAGAAATGAAGAGTACATGATTAGTCCCAAATCTTGAATGAGCAAGATTTGCTCATAGTTCCAGAAAATGCCTGCATTCCAAGTCTGCTGGACCTGTTGGAATTTCCATAGCCAAGCGTGCTTTGAAAAACTGCCTTTTGCCAGAAGGAATGTACTGATGTCTGATGATTATCCAGCCCTTTTTCCCTCAAAGGGAAACATTGATTTTCATGCCACTTTAATTTCCCAGTGGGGTAAAAATAGATCCAAATGACTGCTAGAACAGATATGTGTTCAATGAAGCTTAAACTCTTTATACCTGTCTGCCACTAAGCAGATGGGTTTCAAGTGGTAAACTGGCCTTTTGGCTAGAATTTGATTTGTTGGAGATTTTTCTTGCAAGGGGTTAAAGCAGAAAAGTCCACAGCAGGGACTGTCAGCAGTCTTGCAAGCAAGCTTTTATTTTTCCTCAGTAGCTTTAACCTGAAGCTAGTTCGGCATCTAATTTCAAAAGGGGCATGTCATTTCCACAGCGAGCTCGAGGCTAGCCCTTAAGTGACTTTTTCATTTATTTTTTATAACGAACAGTGCAACTTAAGCAATAATCTCAAAGACCAAAACTTTTTGATTGACAGGCAAGTCGTAGCTCTCCAAAGTGTTTTCCTGAGCATGGAGGCATTGTATTGACAGCAAGCCAGGGAAGGGAGGCTATTGTCAGGGCTGGAGGTAATTGCAAACTAATTGTGCTGTATTTCGACAGGGCTCCTCAGTGTCATTATTTATTTAGGCTTCTGTTTGTTTGGGTTTTGATCGAAAGAAAAGCACACATCTTGCACTGTCTCTGGCACTGAAATCAATGCTGTGAAAGGCCTTTTCCTTTCAGTCTCGTGTATGTACTTGACTTACAGCACAGTGCCACTGGGGGTGCTGAGCGATGTGAGCAAATCCAATCTGGTATTATGTTTGCTAGATAGGCATGGTAAAGAGAACTGTAATGCAGAAACTCAAATGTGCCGAAACAATCATTTAGGGAAATTGATGTCTGTCAAAGATTTTTCTTTCTGTTGTTGTTTTTAATGCTTTTTGAAAGGCTCCTCCTTGGAGATATCACATAGGATTTCAGAGCAAGAACGGAACCAGAGATCTATTTTCATCGTATAATTTCAGAGGAGGGACCTGACCCAGCAAGGTAGGA